AGACTCCATCTCAAAAAAAAAAAAAAAAGAAAGAAAGAAAGAAAAAGCATGAAGTAAATAATAGTGAGGGTAAGTACAAGCTATAGAAAAAAATCACAAAGATCGTCTAAAACTGTCTGAAGTTTGAGAGACATAATGCTACAGCACCATGCAGCTTCATTTTCAGTTTCATCTGTGAAACTAGGGTCATCTAGCACTGCAGAATAAAACAACAGACTAAGAATCTTGTACCTGTAGTTGGGTGTGGTAGTACTTGGGAGGCTGAGGAAGGAGGATCACTTGAGCCCAGGAGTTTGAGGCCACACTGTGCTGTGGTCATGTCTGTGAACAGCTATTGCACTCTAGCCTGGGCAACATAGCAAGATCCTGTCACCAAAAATATAATAAAATCCTAGACCTGGGTTTCAGCCTAGATATGTCACTAATACCTTTATGAACTTGGGTATTTCATTTGCTCTCTCTGGGCCTGTATCGTCATCTTAAAAAAAAAGGAAAGGGAGATAGTGATTTAATTGAATTAGTAGAGCGATTTCTTAACTTTTGATCCAGTAATTCCACTTTGGGAACTCTCTCCCAAGAAAATAATCCAAAATTGGAAAACAGTTATAAGAACAAAGAAATTTACCAACATCTAAAAAATAAAACTTTCTAACTATTCAGCAATGGAAAAGCAGCTAAATAATTTGGAACACATAATTATTGAGAGTATTATGCATTCATTAAAAATCTGTTGGCTGGGCATGGTGGCTCACACCTGCAATCCCAGCACTTTGGGAGGCTGAACGGGGTGGATCATGAGGTCAGGAGTTCAAGACAAGCCTGGCCAACATGGTGAAACCCCATCTCTATTAAAAATACAAAAATTAGCTGGGTGTGGCGGCACAGGCCTGTAGTCCCAGCTACTAGGGAGACTGAGGCAGGAGAATCACTTGAACCCAGAAGGCGGAGGTTGCAGTGAGCTAAGATCGAGCCACTGCACTCCAGCCTGGCAACAGAGGGAGATTCCATCTCAAAAAAAAAAAAAAAAAGTGTTATGAAGATGACACAGCAACATGCTTCTGAATGGAAAAAGAGAAGGGCCGGGCGCGGTGGCTCAAGCCTGTAATCCCAGCACTTTGGGAGGCCGAGGCGGGTGGATCACGAGGTCAAGAGATTGAGACCATCCTGGTCAACATGGTGAAACCCCGTCTCTACTAAAAATTACAAAAAATTAGCTGGGCATGGTGGCGCGTGCCTGTAATCCCAGCTACTCGGGAGGCTGAGGCAGGAGAATTGCCTGAACCCGGGAGGCGGAGGTTGCGGTGAGCCGAGATCGCGCCATTGCACTCCAGCCTGGGTAACAAGAGCGAAACTCTGTCTCAAAAAAAAAAAAAAAAAAAGGAAAAAGAGAGTATGTTTACATGCTATGGTTATCACTATATTAATAAAAAAAGTATGCAGGTAACAAATCTGCCAAAATACGAACGGTTGGTAAGGATAATAACTTCTCTGTTTGTACTTTCAAAATTTTATTTTCTGAGGAGAAAAAAAGAAATTTCTCCAACAGTTAAATTACATTTAAACTGAAAAGAAAATTTCAGAATTAAGGAATTCAACTAAATAATCTCCAGGGTTTCCTTCAGGCTCTAATATTCTGTGGTTTTTCTCTGGAACTAGGAGTACAGGACAGGCAAGAGTAAAAATGCTAGAAATGTTTAGATGGCAGGGGCTGCGCCTGCTTCAATTACTTTGACAACACTCAAAACAGCACATGAGAACATTTGAAAAGCAGCCATTGGAGAAATGACGCAACACCCTCCATCTGTGTGGCAGAAGTCTGGGAAGGAGCAGACCCGAATTGAGCCATATGATCTCTAAGGGTCCTCTCCAAACAACTTATCCAACCACTTGTTGAACAAACATTTACCAAATACCTACCGTGTGTCAGGAACCATGTAGCTGAATGACTACTGAACCAATGCTTCAGAATCTAGTGGAGGAGAAAGATTTTATTTTAGTTTGCTAGGACTGCCATAACATAATACCACAGACTGGGTGGCATAAACAAGAGAAATTTATTCCTCACAGGTCTGCAGGCTGGATATCCGAAATCAGGGTGCCAGCACAGTTGGATTCTGCCGAGGGTCCTTTCCCAGGTTACAGACAGCTGACTTCTCATATTGTCACAAGGTGGAAAGAGAATGAAAGGGATCTCTAGGATCCTTTTTTTTCTTTCACTTTTTTTTTTTTTTTTTTTATACAGAGTCTCGCTCTTTCGCTCAAGCTGGAGTGCAGATGCACAATCTCGGCTATCTGAAACCTCTGCCTCCCAGGTTCAAGCAATTCTGCCTCAGCCTCCCCACTAGCTGGGACTACAGGCAGCATGCGCAACCCCATCCAGCTAATTTTTGTATTTTCAGTTGAGACGGGGTTTCACCATGTTGGCCAGGCTGGTCTCAAACTCCCGACCTCAAATGATTCACCAGCCTCGGCCTCCCAAAGTGCTGGGACTACAGGCATGAGCCACCACGCCTTTTTTTTTAAAGGGTCGAGGGTCCCTTTTAATTTTTTTTTTTTTTTTATGTAGAGACAAGGCATCGCTACATTACCCAGGCTATCTTGAACTACTGCCCTCAAGCGCTCCCCTGGCCTCAGCCTTCCAAAGCACTGGGATTACAGGTGAGAGCCACCACACCTGGCCTATGTCCATTCATAAGGGCTCCACCTTCATGACCTAAGTACCTCCCAAAGGGCTACCTCCTCACACTATCACACTGGGGATTAGGATTTTAACAGATGAATTTGAGGGGGGCACACTTTCAGTCCATACGAGCTGCCTTCATGCTGTGTCCTCACATGTTCCTCTGTGCACACGTATCCCTGCGGTCTTTTTGTGTGTACAAATCTCCTCTTCTTATAAAGATGCCAGCCAGACTGGAGAAGGGCCCACCATAACAGCACAGCCTCATTTTAATCACCTCTTTAAAGGCCCTATCTCCAAATACAGACATTCTGAGGTACTGGGGCTTAGGGATTCGACATGTGAGGTTTGGGAGACACAATTCAGTCCATAAAAGATTTCAAAAAACAGCATCACAGTGCAATAACAGAACTGCATTCAAATACAAGGGGAACTACATGAAGGCATAATTCATTCTGACAGGAAATATAAGAAACTCCAATAAAGGAGGTGTCACCTGAGCCTAGTTCTTACTCGAGAATCTCTTTTTTTTTTTTTTCTTTTTAAGATGGGGTTTCACCATGATGGCCAGGCTGGTCTTGAACTCCTGACCTCAGGTGATCCAGCCACCTCAGCCTCCCAAAGTGCTAGGATTACAGGCATGAGCCACCGTGCCTGAGAATCTCAAGTCTATAAACCATCATCCTTAATTGTCATAGGAATGTGTGTGTGTGTGTGTATACATTCTCAATTTCCTGACCTTGTGGTCTGCCCGCTTTGGCCTCCCAAAGTGCAGGGATTATAGGCATGAGCCACCGCACCCAGCCTGCCATAGGAATATTTTAAGTATCAAAAATTGTAGATAAGATAGAATCAGAGACAGGTGCTGTGGCTCATGCCTGTAATCCCAGCTCTTAGGGAGGAAAAGGCGGGAGGATAGCTTGAGCCCGGGAGTTCGAGACCTGTCTAGGCAATATAGCAAGACCCTGTTCTCCACACACAAAAAAAAGACAAAAAAAAAAGTGTAAGATAGAATCAGAAAATAAAACAAACTCAGAGGCCAAAAGAAGAATGTATTTGTTCCAGAGAGACAAAGGTAAATACCATCATTTAATAGTTGAACTGGGACTCTGGATTCAAATACAGCAACTTGGGCTGGGTGTGGTGGCTCATGTCTATAATCACAGCACTTTGGGGAGGCCAAGACGGGCGAATTGCTTAAGCCCAGGAGTTTGAGACCAGCCTGGGCAACATGGCAAAACCCTGTCTTTACAAAAAATTCCAAAAAATAGCCAGGAGTGATGGTGCACACCTGAAGCTTCAGCTACCCAGAAGACTGAGGTGGGAGGATTGTCTAAGCCTAGGAGGTCCAGGCTGCAGTGAACCATGATTGTACCACTGCACTCCAGTTTGGGTGACAGAGTGAGACCCCGTTTCAAAAAAAAAAAAAAAGGATCTTGGAGATCAAGTGAAGATCTTAGTTTATGGAATAATCTCCTTCTTGCTCTCACTCTTTTAAGTCATGAGGATTTTAATGTAGGGGGAGAGTGAGGGGGAGGTTTTGACAAACCCTTACCTTTTATCTTCTCTTCCATCTAGAAGCCATTCTTTCTCCACCTACCTTCAGCTAAGCTTTTCTCTAGGCCAGATTTTTTTTAGTCATTAAATTTTTTAATATGCTTACGTAGAGGCCAGATTTTTAACCTCAATTCCTTATCTATTAAAAGACCCCTCAGCCAGGTGCAGTGGCTCACGCCTGTAATCCCCGCACTTTGGGAGGCCGAGGCAGGTGGATCACAAGGTCAAGAGATCAAGACCATCCTGGCCAACATGGTGAAACCCCGTCCCTACTAAAAAAAAAAAAAAAAAAAAAAAAAAAAAAAAAAAAAGCTGGGCATAGTGGCGTGCGCCTGTAGTCCCTCCCAGCTACTTGGGAGGCTGAGACAGGAGCACTGCTTGAACCCAGGAGGCAGAGGTTGCAGTGAGCTGAGCTCGAGCCACTGCACTCCAGCCTGGTGCCTCGTGACAGAGCAAGACTCTGTCTCAAAAAAAAAAAAAGACCCCTCAGCTGGACACAATGGCTCTCACCTGTAATCCTAGCACTTTGGGAGGCCAAAGCAGAAGGATCACCGGAGCCCTAGAGTTCAAGACCAGCCTAGGCAACCCCATCTCAAAAATACAAATTAAAATAAAATATTTGTCTCTTGAAGTCACCTAGATTCCTGAAGTAAAAATGGAAAAACAGTATTGTGCTGACCTAGGTAGCACAATGCTGGGAGGACCATTTCTGTTGGCCCCTTCCCTTTCCAGTGTCTGGATGTAACCTGTTTCCTTCCAACAGGGGTCGCCAGAGGCCATAGGGACCAAGGCCAAGCTTCTAGGAGGTGGCTGCAGGAAGGTGGCCAAGAATGTGAGTGCAAAGGTCAGTAACTCAGCATCAACAACAGCGATGGCATCACCATGACCCCAGCTCTCTCCCTGGGGCCCCTCTGAGACCAATGCAGATGTTATCTCAGCTGACCTCACCCATTCCCCTCTCCACCAGCCTGCCACATGCAGCAGCCGTGCCTGCTTTCTTCCTGACTGTCAGGCAAGAACTGGACTCCTCCAAGGTCTAGGGGAAAGCCAGCCAAATGTCAGGCTGCCCCCTGCCCCTTATCCTTTTCCTGAAGAACCCAGGGCTACCGTCCAAAAGGCCTTTTATTTTTTCCTGGCCTTCCAAAAGCTTCCTGAATCCTATTCTCAGCCTTGTTTTACTCACAGGCAAGGCTGAAAGCAGAGTGGCAAAATGGCTTGCCCGAGGGAAAGCAGCCACTGGAAGGCAGACACCCAGGCCTTGCTCCTAATTCTTTTTTTTTCTTTTCTTTTTTTTTTAATTTTTTATTGGATTTTAGGTTTTGGGGTACATGAGCAGAGCGTGCAAGACAGTTGCGTAGGTACGCACATGGCAGTGTGCTCTGCTTTGCTTCTCCCCTTCACCCACATTTGGCATTTCTCCCCAGGCTATCCCTCCCCACCTCCCCCTCCCACTGGCCCTCCCCTTTTCCCCCCAATAGACCCCAGTGTTTAGTACTCCCCTTTCTGTGTCCATGTGTTCTCATCTTTCCTCACCCGCCTATGAGTGAGAATATGCGGTGTTTCATTTTCTGTTCTTGTGTCAGTTTGCTGAGGATGATGTTCTCCAGATTCATCCATGTCCCTACAAACGACACAAACTCATCATTTCTGATTGCTGCATAATATTCCATGGTGTATATGTGCCACATTTTTCCAATCCAGTCTATTATCAATGGGCATTTGGGTTGATTCCAGGTCTTTGCTATTGTAAACAGTGCTGCAATGAACATTTGTGTACATGTGTCCTTATAGTAGAACGATGCTCCTAATTCTTTGGATTCATGATATTCTGATACACCATCTAAACCTACCACCAAACCCTTGGCCAAACAGGTCAGGAAAAACAACTCGGAAATACTGGCTTCAAATAGCTCGATGTCCCCAGTATTCTATATTGACCCCTTTTCCCACCCCACTGCAGTAGAAATGCAAGGCACAGAAGATGCCAAGTAAAGCTCTGTCCTACTCCCTCCTATCAAATATATTAACTCTCCCATCTAAGCAGCAATGCTGTTGTTTCAGACTGGTTCCTGAGAGGCCCTAGAAGAAAACTCATGACAGCGTCTGGGCTGCCAAAGAAGCAGTGTCCCTGTGATCATTTCAAGGGCAATGTGAAGAAAATAAGTAAGTTTCCAGAGAATGATTTTCCTGATACCAGAGTCAGTCCGTGCAATTACCAAGGATGAAGCATGGGTTGAGAATAGAAAAAAGAGGTGAAATTAAGACCAGGATAAGTACACAACTCAGCCCTTTCTACTCAGTGTCAACTTGCTGGGAAATAGGAAGAGCAGGATACAAATAGGAAAAGCAGGATACAATTCTCCTGATACTAGAAAGGCTTAACCAAATTGTTAGATTTTAAAGCCTCACTGTTTACCGAAGTGGGGATAGATGGGGCTACTGAAGACCTGGTCATTAGTCTCTAATGATTATACCAGTATCAGCATCAAACAGAACTGGACTCCTCCCTGGTTCAAGATCAGCCTGGCCAACATGGCAAAACTCCATCTCTACTAAAAAATACAGAAATTAGCCAGGTATGGAGGCATACACCTGTAATCCCAGGGAGGCTGAGGCAAGAGAATCACTTGAACCCGGAAGGTGGAGGTCACAGTGAGCGGAGATCGTACCACTGCACTCCGGCCTGGTCAACAAAGCAATATTCTGTCTCAAAAAAAAAAAAAAAAGTGAGATATCACTGTACAATCATCAGAATGGCCAAAAGTTTTAAGTCTGTGACAAAAAGTCAATACACATCAAAAATATGTAAAGTCGAACAAGACAAAGCACTGGCATAGTACAGCAAAAAAAACTCTCATATACTGTTAATGGGAGTGTAAAATTGCTGGCAGTGATTTACTGAAGTTTAAGCTACGTGTAGTCCTGTGACTAAGCAATTCTACTCTTCTGCTCTCAAAGGGTATATACGCTTCAATCTACCAGAGACATGTACAAGAATTTCACTGCAGCATTGCTCATAACTGCCTCAAACTCAAAACTGACCAAACGTCCATCAATGGTAGAATGAATAAATAAACCGTGGTACTTAGAACATCATCTATCCATGAGAACACAGTGAGCCGAGATCGTACCACTGCACTCCGGCCTGGGCAACAAAGCAATATTCTGTCTCAAAAAAAAACAAACGGAATAAAATTAATTATTGTTACAAACATAATATTGAGTAAAAAAAAATTAAGACATGAGTGAATCACTATAGTATGATTTTATGTACTGTCTTAGTCTGCTTGGTTTGCAGAATAACATAACAAAATACCATAGATGGAGTGATTTTACAAAATGGAAATTTATCTCTCACAGTTCTGCAGGTTGGGATGTCCAAGATCAAGGTGCCAATAGATTGTCTGGTGAGGGCCTGCTTCTTTATACACAGCAGCCTCCTCACTCAAACCTCACATGGCAGAAGCAGCAAACTCCTTCACCTTTTATAAGGGCTCTAATCCCACTGATGAGAGCTCTGCCTCCATGACCGAATCACCTCCCAAAGGCCTCACCTCCTAATACCATCACCTTGAGGGCTAGGATTTAAACATATAAATCTGGGAGAGGCTAGGAGCACTGGCTCACACCTATAATCCCAATATTTTGGAAGGCCAAGGCAGGCAGATCACCTGAGGTCAGGAGTTCAAGACCAGCCTGGGCAACATGGAGAAACCCCATCTTGACTTAAAATACAAAAAAATTAGCTGGGCAGGATGGTGCACATCTATAATCCCAGCTACTCAGGAGGCTGAGGTAGGAGAATCATTTGAACCCAGGAGACAGAGGTTGCAGTGAGCCACTGCACTCCAGCCCAGACAACAGAGTGAGACTGTGTCTCAAAAAAAAAAAATTGGGAGAGACGTAAACATTCAGACCATAACGTATACATAAAGTTCAAAAATGAGCAAAAGTAAACTAAACTATTCAGGAATGTATATACATAGGTAGTAAATAATAAAGAAAATAAAGTAAGTTATTACTATAAAAGCAAGTCAGGATTACCTCTGTGAGGAGGAGAGGAAGGACAGTGATCAGAAAAGGGCGGATGCTGGCAGTATTCGATTTTTTTTTTTTCTTTGGAGTTTCACTCTTGTTGCCCAGGCTGGAGTGCAATGGCATGATCTAGGCTCATCACAAACTCTACCTCCTGGGTTCAAGCAATTATCCTGCTTCAGCCTCCCGAGTAGCTGGGATTACAGGCATGTGCCACCATGCCCAGCTAATTTTGTATTTTTAGTAGAGACGGAGTTTCTCCATGTTGGTCAGGCTTGTCTCAAACTCCAGACCTCAGGTGATCCGCCCACCTCATCCTCCCAAAGTGCTGGGATTACAGGCGTGAGCCACTGCGCCCAGCCACAATATCCTATTTCTAACTCTAGGTAGTAGTTTCATGAATATCTGCTTTATAACTATTTGTTGTTAATAGAAACTTATACTGCATGTATAAGCTTCTATGAACTTCTATAGAAATATAATACTTTGCAATAATAGATTTGGGTTTTCTTAGGGGTGGTGGTTTGAGACAAGGTCTTGCTCTGTCACCCAGGCTGGAGCGCAGTGGCACAATCACAGCTCACCTCCTGGGCTCAAACGCTCCTCCCACCTCAGCCTCCCCAGCAGATGGGACCATAGGCACACCACCTGTACACCAAGGTACACAGGTACACAGGCCACCATGCCCAGCCAGTTTTTGCATTTTTTGTAGATATAGTGTTTCTCCATGTTGCTCAGGCTGGTCTTGAACTCCTTGGCTCAAGCCTCCCAAAGTGCTGAGATTACAGCCATAAGCCACCGTGGCTGGCCAGATTTGTTAAAGGTGCACACTAAGGCAATACATAGAGTATAATCTCATTTTTGTTTTTAAAAATAAGCCATTACATTTATATACAGAAGGTATGGAAAAATATGTAGCAAACATATTAACAGTGGTTAGCCCTGGAAAGTGTGTTGCAGAGGCTGGGGTGGGAGGAGTCCTTTTACTTTTTACTGGATTTAAAAATTTTTTTCCACTGGATGAGTCTTATTTTTATAATTTTTAAAACTCTCATAAAAATTAAATGTTAAGTCCAGGCACAGTGGTTCATGCCTGTAATCCTAGCACTGTGGGAGGCCAAGGCAGATGGGTCACCAGAGGTCAGGAGTTTCAGATCACCCTAACCAACTTGCTGAAACGCTGTTTCTACTAAAAATACAAAAATTAGCTAGACGTGGTGGCGTATGCCTGTAATCCCAGCTACTTGGGAGGCTGAGGCAGGAGAATCACTTGAACCCAGGAGGCGGAGGTTGCAGTGAGCTGAGATCACGCCACTGCACCCCAGCCTAGGTAACAGAGTGAGACTTCATCTAAAAAAAAATAAAATAAATTAAATGTTGAAAATGTTTTTAACACTAGCCTCTCCCTTCTATTTGCATCATAGGACACCGAAGGCACCACAGGAGGCCAAACAAGCATTCCAGAGCCTGCCAGCAATTTCTCAAACAATGTCAGCTAACAAGCTTTGCTCTGCCTTTGTAGGAGCTCTGAGCGCCTACTCTCCCAATTAAACATTCTCAGTCAAGAAGACACTGAGCACACCTTTCTTCTCCGACCTCATTCTCCCACTGCATCCACCCCCTAAATCATTCCGCTGCTCTCAAAAAGCATGTTTCTCAAGATCATTTTGATTATTGCTCTCTCTAGTGCCTTTTCTCTCATCATTCTTATCCTGCGCCCTCCCCCTACCCAGGCTTGGTCTTAATTATCTGAAAGATAATTCCAGGAAACTGTAGCTTCCTAGCTGGTCTCATTTAATCTTAACTACATTCAGGAAAGTAGCAAACAGACGTCAATAAATATTTTTAAAACGTAATAGATCAAAATTGTTTCCTTCAAATAGGGTCTGCCAATTCACATCCAAAGGACCCATTTTACCCTATCCACTGCAGACTGAATCCAGATTCTACACATACTTCTCTCCACTGGCCTACTTGTTCACCTGTCCCTCATTCTAACAAATCTTTCTGAGATAAGAGCTAGATGGGATAAAGAAAAAAAAAGTGAGAACGATCCAAGATGGTCGATCGCTAACATCCCAGGATTGCAGCTCTCAGGGAAGGCGCGGAGAACTAGAGGACGCCACACTTTCAGACAAATTCTGGTCGCTCACAGAGCAGAAGATCCCCAGTGGTGGAAACACACGAGTCGCCAGCGCGACTCTCGTGGTCAGCGCAGCGGTTTCGCCGGCACCTCGACGCCGCAGCGCTCGGCGCAGAGTAAACAGGACAGGTTCCCCTTCTGACCGAGGTTTGGAGCCCTGGGAAGGCAGAGTCGCCTACTACGGAAACAAGAAGGAAGCCCGACAGGAGAATCCTGGGCAGAAAAGCACCATCAGTTTTAACGCTGCTGCTCTGGCCCTGGGAACTAACAACCTGGACGTCCACTCAAGAGACCTAATCTGAAAGTTGGTAATTTCAAAGACGACAGGAGGATAAATTTACAATGACGGGAAGAAACCAGCGTAAAAAAGCTGAGAATACTCAAAGTCAGAACGCCTCTCCCTCTAAAGATGATCACAGTTCCACATCAACAATGGAACAAGGCTTGATGGAGAACGAGCGCATCCCAATAACAGAATCACTCTTCAAGGAATGGATAATAACAAACTTTGGTGAGTTAAAAGAACATGTTGTAGCCCAACGTAAAGAAACTAGGAACTTTGAAAAAAGGTTTGATGAAATCCTATTGAGAATAGACAACTTAGAGAGAAGTATGAGTGAATTAATGGAACTGAAGAATACAATACAGGAACTCCGAGAAGTATGCACAGGTTTAAACACTCGAATTGTTCAAGCAGAAGAAGGGATATCAGAGGTCAAAGTCCAACTTAATGAAATAAAACGTGAAGAAAAGATTAGAGAAAAAAGGATAAAAAGGAATGAGCAAAGTCTCCAAGAAATGTGGGACTATGTGAAAAGACCAAATTTACGTTTGATAGGTGTACCTGAATGTGACGGAGAGAATGAATCCAAGCTGGAAAATACCCTTCAGGATATTATTCAGGAAAATTTCCTAAACTAGCAAAGCAGGTCAACATTCAACCCCAGGTAATACAGAGAACACCACAAAGATATTCCTCAAGAAGAGCAACCCCAAGGCACATAATCGTTAGATTCACCAGGGTTGAAACGAAGGAGAGGATACTAAGGGCAGCCAGAGAGAAAGGTCAGATTACCACAAAGGCAAGCCTATCAGACTTACAGCAGATCTCTCAGCAGAAACTCTACAGGCCAGAAGAGAGTGGGGGCCAACATACAACATCCTCAAAGAACAGAACCTTCAGCCCAGAATTTCATATCCAGCCAAACTAAGCTTCACAACTGAAGGAAAAATAAAATCTTTTATGAACAAGCAAGAACTCAGAGATTTTATTACCACCAGGCCTGCTTTACAAGAGCTTCTGAAAGAAGCATTACACACAGAAAGAAACAACTAGTATTAGCCTTTCTAAAAATACACCAAAAAGTAAAGAGCACCAACATAAAGAAGAATTTACACCAACAAATGGATAAAACAGCCAGTCAACATCAAATGGCAGTAACCCTAAATTTAAATTGACTGAATTCCCAATCAAAAGACACAGCCAAAACCCAACGGCATGCTACATCCAGACCTGTTTCACATGTAAGGATACACAAAGACTCAAAACAAAGGGACGGAGAAAGATTTACCAACCAAATGGAGAGCAAAAATAAATAATAAATAAATAAAAAGCAGGAGTTGCAATTCTCGTATTGGATAAAATAAGATTTTAAAGCAACAAAGATACAGTGGTAAAAGGATCAATGCAACAACAAGAGCTAACGATCCTAACACCCAGATAGGAGACTTAGATTCAATGAGACAGAAAATTAATAAGGATATCAAGGACTCGAACTCAGATCCAGAACAAGTAAACTTAATAAATATTTATAGAGCTCTCCACTTCAAATACACAAAATATACATTCTTGTCAATACCACATCACACCTACCCATTAGTTTAAATGAAACATTGATTGGCCATTATTAATACCCAATTTTTTTCAAAATAAAGCAATATTTCCATTTACTCTCCCTCTTTCTCTTCCTCTTTCTTCCTCTCCTTTACTTATTTTTTTTTTCTTTCCTTCTCTCAAAAAAAAAGAAATCAACTTGTAAACCTCTAGATCCAGGTCGGCAATGTCTCTTTCATTGCTTGATTTCCTTTCTTCCCTTCCCTCCCTCCCTCCCTTCCTCCCTCCCTCCCCGCTTCCTCCCTTCCTTCCTTCCTTCATCCCTTCCTTCCTCCCTACCGTCCTCATTCCCTTCCTTCCTGCCTTCCTCCACCCCCCCAAAAAAAAAAAAAAAGTATACCAATGAACCAGACATGGTCTTATTAAAGATAATATAGGTTTAAAAAAAAAACCTGGCACAGTTTCTTAGCACTTAGGCAGCCCTTGGTATTTATGACTACTCTCATCACCATTACCACAATCATCATCAGTCATCATCATCAGTGGTCACTGTATTCTGTGAGTTTCCAATCCAGTACAGAACCATAGTTTAAGGCTAGAGAGATGGCACAGAGGATCTCAAATGTCATTCAGAGGGGCTTCAAGCTATAAAAATGGGAGGGCATGACATTGGCCTTTAGCATGGGACTTAAATGATCAGAGTGACAATATAAGGAAATTAAACGGGCAACCTGGCTGGGTGTGGTAGCTCACACCTGTAATCACAGCACTTTGGGTTGGGGGGCGTGAATCACGTTAAGGTCAGGAGTTCAAGACCAGCCGGGCCAACACGGCAAAACCCAGTATCTACTAAAAATACAAAAATTAGCCCGGCATGGCAGTGCATGCCTGTAGTCCCAGCTACTCAGAAGGCTGAGGCAGGAGAATGGCTTGAACCCAGGAGGTAGGGGCTGCAGTGATCAAAACTGGCACCACTGCACTCCAGCCTGGGCAACAAAGCCAGACTCTGTCTCAAAAATAAATAAATAAACTGGCAACCATTTGTAGGAATGAACAAAGAGGGAAATAGTTATGACAACAACTACAAAGACTGCCTCCTGAATGACGCTTTCCTCAAACATCAAAAGGAGAGAGAAAAAAGGAATACTCATTCAGCATCTGGCTTCTATCATCCCAAATGACCCAGAGGACTAAAGTGGGATGCTTGCCTTATGAGAAGAAACATTTTAACTGAGTGGTGAGTGGGGTGGGGCCCTATTTATGACACAAGAGAGCTAGCCCCTCCCTTCTTGTAAGACAGTGCTAGGCACATAGGCTCCTCCTATTCCTAATCCTCCCTCAAAAGAGGCAACAGAGTTCATTACTTAGTCGGGGCCAGCTGTGATCGGCCCACTGCCTGCTGCCTTAAAAAGGAAGACCAGTGATGCCAGGATGAAGTGGAACCCAAAGGGAAGTGCCATCATGAGGAATCAATGAGAGATCTGTGAAGAGAGAGGCTTGGGTGAGAGCCCAGAAGGATGAAACCTCGGAGATCCACCTCTCCGGTGAGGGAAATAACAATGGAGCCAGGTTCTCAGTCAGTATCTAGGCCAGATTGGGAACCTGAGCCACACCAGAGGCCTATAACCCTGCCAGAGCCTGGGCCAGAAGAGACACCCACAGCCCAGCCAGAATCAAAGGCTCTGCAGGGATCCAATACTCAACAGGAGCCTGCTTCAAAGCAAAGACCCCTCACCCAGCAGGAGCCCCCTGCCCAACATGATGCTGAATCCCAGAAGGAACCTAGAGCCCAACAAATATCTGTTTTGCGAGAGGAATTTCTTGCCCCACAAAAGCCTGCACCACAGCAATCACCTCACATCAAAAGCGTGCCCCTCACTCAACAGAAAGCTGCTTCCCAGCAGGGACCTGGGCTAGGAAAAGAATCTACAACTCAGCAGGAGCCAGCATTGAGAGAAAGACATGTCGTCCAGCCAGGGCCCTGGCCAGGAAACCCACCTCCAACTCAACAAGAAGCTGAATCAATACCTGCGGCCCAGGCTAAACCTGAAGCCAAAAGGAAACCACCTGCCCCCACTGAAGCTACATCCCAAGAGACATCTGAACAGTCAGGCCCTACAACCCAGCGAACAACTCCAGTCCAGGGAGTCAAATCCACGCAAGGATCTTTGACAGAGCCAGGATTTCTAAAAAAACTGCAGGAACTGTCCATACAGCGATCAGCCCTAGAGTGGAAGGCATATTTTGAGATGCTCACAGATTCTGAGTCAGAATCAGATATGGGGTCATCTTCAGACACAGATTCTTCAGTCATGACGGCTGGAATGGTGGCCCCAGGAGTGAAGCTAGCCTTGAAACGAAAATCTGGTTATAAAGCGATGTCAGGATATGGTGGGATGTCGCCACATGAGAAAACCAGTGCTCAGAATCACAGACACTACCAGGACACAGGTGAGTCTGAACCTGAAGGAACTGACATTCATTTACTTAAGAAATACTAAAAACTTACGGTGTATCAAGTTAGCTCTGGTCATCCTTCAACAATCCTGAGATAAAGATCAACCCTGCCATCATTAAAAAAAAAAAAAAAAGTCCAGCACAGTGGCTCACGCCTCCAATCCCAGCAGTTTGGGAGGCTGAGGCGGTGGATCATGAGGTCAGGAGTCCAGCCTGGCCAAGATGGTGAAACCCTTTCTCTACCAAAAATACAAAAATTATCTGGACATGGTGGCAGGGCTTGTAATCCCAGCGACTTGGGAGGCTGAGGCAGAGAATTGCTTGAACTTGGGAGTAGGGGGTTGCAGTGAGCCAAGACTGCGCCACTGAACTCCAGCCTGGGGGGGTGGATGGGGGGAGGGGGAGGAGGAGGAGGAGAAGGA